TGTACTTTAAAATTAAATTAATACAATTTTAATTCAAGTGATAAAAGTTTTTGAAATTCTAACAGGTTACAGGGTAACAGAGAGCCACTGTAAGGTCACACCTGCTTGGTATAAACACTTTAAAATGGTTCAGTGGAAAATATCAATTAGAAACTCAAAAAGTAATCAAAAAGTAATCCAATGTAATCAGTTACTTTATTTTATAAAGTAATCGAAAAGGGACACTACTTAATACATTTTAAATAGGATAATTCATGATCTGTAATCTACTACATTTCCAAAGTAACCTCCCTAACATATCATAACAAATATCTCCTTTGTACAATATCTTGCACAATACTGTTCTGTAAAAGTACTTGCATAGTGTGTAAAGTATGTATGCATAGTTGCTAGTTACTGCTGTAGATTACATCTCCGGTATGTTAGTTATGTATAGGTTTAAAATAGCTCTCATGTTCAGTGTTGTGTTTATATTTATAATTATGCTTATTTATGAAGCACGGTGGTCCTGCAAGACACTACATTCTATTTCGTTCTATGTCCACACATGTGGTGGAATGAAAATAAAGCTAAACCTGACTTGACTTAAGCACAAAAACCCATACATGTCATGGGGATGGTTTGGGTGTGCTTCATGCAAACGAGTATACTTAAGCGTGTGGTTTTTATTTAGAATACTCCAAACTCATTATTATTAAAATGAGTTGAGATCAAATTCATGTGAATATACATCCAATCTGAATTAGACAGACTTTTGGTGAGAGGTGTTTTGGTGTGTGCAAATATTAGTGCAAAGAACTATTAGTACAAAGAAATCTTAATACTCCAACATAAGATTAAAAATAACAAAATAAGACTAAGAAGGGAAACCCTTTCATTTGTTCTTATAGTAGTTTGCATACAGTGTATATCTGAGAATAACCCAGCTCAGTTTCTTTAAGAAAGGTTGGAACTTCTTACAAAACTCATGGCTGTGTTTGCTGACTATAACTAAAAGAACTAACTAAGCACCTTACTAAAGTGATGGAAACAGTCTCAAAATCCTGAGCTTCCTTATAGCGCTACAGCGAATATCTGAGATCAGCAAATAAATAATGAATAATTAACAGCAAACAGGGCAATGATCAAAAAGAGCTGGGCTTCAGCAGACACGACAAATCAGATGTAGTAAACAAAGACCCAAGGACCTACATTCTCTCTACCACCTTCCTCTGGTTTAAATATGCGCATGTAAAATCATGCCACGCACACACACATTCGCATGCACTTTTCTTTTGAAGAATGAAATTTTCGCTTTTCTCAGTCCCAGGGAATTTCACGAAACTGAATCAGAACACTTGATCTGACCACCCGCTGATTTCTGATGGAAAGATTTGCTTTTTAATACAATCGTCAGTCGTTCTGCCACGTTGTGCCTGGCCCAGACAAATCCCAGCAGTGTGTCTTCTTGTACTGCCACAGTGAAATGTCTCATTCTCCATCGGTTAAATACCACCCTGCTGTAATCTATCACGGTGGAAATGTTAATAACATCGTCCTCTGTTTCAGCTCAGCTTAAATATGACACATTTATACACGTTTAGGACAGATGGTGTGTTTTCAGGCCGTTTATCGATGAAAATATATTAAAGGTGTAACTGATTGACGGGCTAAAAACATCAGAATCCAAACAAATGACGTGTGTGTGTGTGTGTGTGTGTGTGTGTGTGTGTGTATATATACATATAAAGAAAACAAGCTCTGTTTGCAGGCTTCAGAGTCTGTTTTAAAGAGAGCATTCTGTCCTCTCACAATTTTAATTAATGCTTTAATATGCAAATAAGATCGAGGAGATAAATTCATGACAAACAGATGGCAAGTGAACTTTTTCTGTTCTGGCATGTTCTTAAGTTGCGGTATCATTTTTTCAGGGCTTTTGCAACGATGTGTGAAGCAGCAGCTCTGAGAGATCAGCAACAACTCACAGCTTTGCCCAACTTAGTGAAAACTTCTGTCTTTTTAATTGAAACAGCAAAACTATTATGTTTTCTTTATTGTAAAAAATACACATTTAGTGTGTGAGACTAATGATTTATATCACTAGACCTGAGCAGATAATGCTGTAGCTCATAAATCCTTTCTGGAAAATACAGAAAATTTAATTGAGCTATTTTTGGGAGTCTTCAGCCAACATGTAACAAGAAACGAAAATGTCAATACACAGTTGAATTGTGTAATATATATATATATATATATATATATATATATATATATATATATATATATATATATATATATTAAGGGTGTCACGATCCTCCAAATCCTCGATTCGATTACATTTTCGATTCTAAAGGCATGATTCGATTAGATTTTCGATTATGAATAATTAATTAATTAATGACCAATTAATTATTTGTAGCCTACCGTTTAAACCACCTGACCTGAATGGTCTTTGTTTTACCCATAAACAAATCATACAGTAAATGAATAAAGGCAAGTTACACACATAATTACCACCTGTCAATCACTTTTTTCTGCGGGGCTCGTGAATAGGCAGTGATCTGTGTTGTTATAATGGCGTCGGTAAAAAAGACGCACAACCAACAGGAACCAGCCAACAGTATCTGAGGTGTTCGCTAAAATGACTAAAGGCTGATTTATACTTCTGCGTCAAACACCGGCGTATGCTACGGCGCTGACGCATAGCCCTTCGCCGTGGCCATCGCCGTCACTGACGTGCACCTCTCAAAAAATGTAACTACACGTCGCAACAACGCGTAGCGCAAGCTCTGTGATTGGTCGGCTTGGTAGCGATGACGGGTCGGGGCAGGACCGAGAGCCGCGCGAATGGCGCGAACCCAATGTAGCAATTGTTTACAAGTGTGGAGTCCCGTGAAGGAGCTGTGGATGGAAAGTTTTGTTTTGTGTTTACCTCATATTTAAAGTTGCTGCACGTCCGCCGGTTCCTGCCTCAAAATGAGCGAGTTTGAGCCACTTGTACATCCCGGAAGTGTTCAGGAAAAACAAAAAAGCAGCGAAGAAACTCGACACAGAGGAACATTTACACCTCACTGCCAACTAGCGTTTCGGAAGTGTTAATGTAGACCAACAGAGACAGCGCGCAGAAGTATAAATGCACAGCCACGCGCGTTGCCTGCGCCGTGGGTTACGCCGGTCACTTGACGCAGAAGTATAAATCCGGCTTAAGTACAAGTGAGTGAAAGATTGAAGCAGTCCTCTGACTGCCTGGACCTGCTGTCTCGAGCGCATGGCTGCGAGTGCGTCTGTGTCTGTGTGGTCACGTAATGTGCATTTTCAGAGGCAGAGAGGAAGGAGGGCTGCTCAGAAACGCTACACGCCACTGTGAATGTCAATTCGTTGTCGTTCTAAAATGCCATTTAAAAACAAAGACAGTGTAAACAGGGCCTGAGTGTGTACTTTTCGCGAGCAGATTTGCAACGGGGGCGGGCGGAGGATCGCGATGCCGGTGTTGTCTATTGGACGAACCGTACGTAATACGTACATAGCAAAGCTTGCAAAACTGTGTTTTTTTTGTCGACAACACGAACGTTGTCAACATAACTCACTGGAAATCCAAAATGCTTACACACCGGTGACTTCATTGAAACAGGAGAGGGTTTAAGTTCTGTCGACGGGTCTCCTGCTTCTGCAGTTTAACAAGCACTTCAACAGGCCTGTTTTTTTCCCGCTTGGCAAGCCAAGCTGACGTGACATGGGGGCGTGGCAGCATCGACGATTCTATTTTTTGATTCGATAATCGAAATAGAGCATAAAATTCGATCGATTTTGATTAAATATCGAAATCGTGACACCCCTAATATATATATATATATATATATATATATATATATATATATATATATATATATATTAATATTTATTTATTTATTTATTTATTTAACAGCCACTGTATATATCTAATAAAGCCACTTTATTAGGTACACCTGTCCAACTGCTCGTTACCACAAATTTCCAATCATAAATCTCATGACAGCAACTCAATGTATTTAGGCATGTAGACATGGTCAAAACAATCTGCTGCAGTTCAAACCGAGCAACAGAATGGGGAAAAAAGGTGATTTAAGTGAATTTGATGTTTGCATGTTTGTTGGTGCCAGACAGCAGAAGACCACACAGGGCGCCACTCCTGTCATGAAACAGAAAACTGAGACTACAATTCACACAGGGTTACCAAAATTGGACACTAGAAGATTGGAAAAACTGTGCCTGGTCTGATGAGTCTCGATTTCTGCTTCGACATTTGGATGGTAGGGTCAGAATTTGGCATCAACAAAATGAAAGCTTGGATCCATCCTGCCTTGTATCAACGGTTCAGTCTGGTGGTGGTGTATTGGTATGGTATATATTTTCTTGGCACACTTTGGGCCCATTAGTACCAATTGAGCATCGTGTCAACGCCACAGCCTACCTGAGCACTGTTGCTGACCATGTCCATCCCTTTATGACCACAGTGTACCCATCTTCTGATGGCTACTTCCAGCAGGATGACGCACCATGTCATAAAGTTCTAATCAACTCAGACTGGTTTCTTAAACATGACAATGAGTTCACTGTACTCAAATGGCCTCCATAATCACCTGATCTCAATCCAACAGAGTACCTTTGGGATGTGGTGGAATAGGAGATTGACATCATGGATGTGTAGCCGACAAATCTGCAGAAACCGCATGATGCTGTCATGTCAATATGGACCAAAAACTATGAATGATGGTTTAAGGCAGTTCTGAAGGCAAAAGGGGTCCATTCCGGTACTAGAATGTGTACCTAAGTGACCACTGAGTGTATATACAGTGCAATCCAAGGAAAGGTCCTCCAATCTACATATGCACATAATTGTTCATGACTTAAACAATACTTCAGGCCTGAGTGAGGACTACACTTTCCAAAAATGTCCTGATATTTTCTAAGTATATCCAACCATCTGTGTGCATAATTCTAAACACTGGGATGATCAGGTTGAGGTACAGTTGACAACTCACCTTCTCCTCTTTCAGGTGTTGGTCCAGATCCAGTCGGATGAGTGAACGGTTGATCTTTAGGGCCAGTGATAGAGCCATGAGGCCTCCAGCAAGCACCTGGTTCTGCCGTACATCCAAACGCTGGATCTGTGGACTCTCTGCGAGAATCTCAGCCAAAGTCACAGCACCTGGCACCATTGGTACAACACACAGACACACACGCACGCTTCATTATAAGGGGAACCAGAAATGCATTTATGAAAAAAAGGAAATTCAAGATGTGCCAAAAAGGCAGAAAAGCAATATTACAAACCCTACCCTCACAGGTTATTCCTGTGGCAGCTAGGCCAAGTTGCAATAAAGAGCGATTGATCATGAGGGACTCCTTTAACATGTGAATGCCTCTGTTCTCAAGGTTGTTTTTGCCAAGGTTTAACGTTTCAAGTGATTTTAACCGGGGCTGGGAAAAAGGGGAAAAAAAGAGAAAGAAAAAAACATGTTTAAGAACATGCACACTGATGAGCTTGTTTTTAAATCACTTTTTTCCAATTCAAAAGTGTCCCTTTTCTGTGCATTTGAGTCCAATTATGGATGGTGAATTTGTGTCACTTTGAGAGCTTTAAGTGTCAGATGCCGTGCCGTGGCAATAGATTGGCTCTCAAGAGCATATTAGCTGCGTCATTTATGAAGCACGATTAGCAGTCATATAAAGCAGGAGATAGCAGAGCACATGAGGGAAAAGCCATGTTGCATAACAGAACGTACACCATGCCAGCTCGCTACACTCATTATTCTCACTTAGTCTCCTGCTTTAAATGAAAAACCATAGACAGATGAAAAAAAACAAGTTTAGAGATCAGCTCACAGTTCATTTGCGTCACTGTTACAACATTCAAGCATGTAAACACCCCCACACACACACACACACACACATAGTTTATGCATACAGACATAACCAGTCAAAGATTCAGAGAACAAAAATGAAATGAGGAAAATGTCACTGAAATGTCATTTCAAATGTATAAAGCTTTAGAATTCAACAGAACTTTTGTAATGTATGGGTTTTTTTGTTAGGGCGGAGCATTGGTGCCTCACAAAAAGAAGGTAGCTGGTTCGAGCCTTGACTGGTTCAGTTGGGATTTCCGTGTGGAGTTTGCATGTTCTCCCCGTGTTTCCGGATTCCCCCACAGTATAAAGACACACTATAGGTGAAATGGGTGAGCTAAACTATCCTTAATGTATGTGTGTGATTGAGTGTGTATGGGTGTTTTCCAGTAATGGGTTGTGGCAGGAAGGGCATCCACTGCGTAAAATATAAGCTGGATAAATTGGCAGTTCATACCGCTGTGGCGACCCTGATTAATAAAGGGACTAAGTCGAAAAGAAAATGAATGAATGAATGAATGGGTTTTGTGTTTTCAGATGTACTGTATAAATGCCTCAATACACTAACATGAATTTAAGGGCTATCCTCATGTTTGTTTGTTTTTTCCAAATGTAACCATAGACCAAAAAACTTTTTATTTTTTATTTCAAGAGTTCACACTTAGCTGATGAATGATTATAAAGCGTGTCTGGCATGCTGTCCCGGGAGAAAGCCCTGAGCTCATAAGATCCTCGAACCCAGGTCTCCCTTCCATTTGCAAGGCGAGAAGGGAGTTTGAGCTCAGGTAGATCAGCTAATGAACTGAAAGGGATTGCTCTTAAGAGATAAGTACTTACTAGGTTCACGTATATGGTGCCGATTTTGATTTGGTCAATTAACTTAAATTGCATGTTGCTGAACGGTGGGAGAAAACTGGGGAATCTGGGGGAAACCCACATGAGCACAAGGAAAACGTATAAACAGAAATGCCGGCTGGCTTGGTAAGGACAAGAACCAATGACGTTCTTGCTGTGAGGCAAGAGTGCTAACCACTGGGCCACTGTGCCACCCATCTGGCAAAAGAGGAGAAGTATGGGGGAAAGGGGGGATTCTTCAAAACGAAAATGGCTGTGATCTTAGGGTACTTATAGTATTTAACTTATAGTGGCTTAGGAATCATCTGATAGGTGAATCATAAATTAAATAATGAGGGACCAGCCGCAAGCAATCATAAGCATGTGATCCTCTTCACTTAGGATAAACACTTCACTTAACTTTAAAAAAACACTTCACTTAACTTCACTTATTTTTGGCAAATTTCTACTGTAAAGATATAAAAACAAATTATTTTATTGGTAATGTGCATTGCTAGGAACTTAATTTGAGTAACTTTAAATGTGACCTTTTCAGTGTTTTTATTTTATCTCCCAAAGATTACAGGTGTTAATAGTTAAATAAACTATTAAATAGTTAATAGTTAGACCAAATATTGGCCTTTTCCTAACAACTATTCAATAATAGCTTATTTACTTGGCTTTTATGTGATGTATAAATCACAACTTCAAACAATGTAATTAAAATTAAACCAAAAATAAATCAGTTTTGCAGTCCACGACCACAAATTTTTATAATTTTCTTTTTTTCTGTGGAACATTATTTGTAATAAATTATCGCAAGTATTTTATGTAAATTCTATATATTTTGAGAATTGATAAAATCAATCAATAAATTAATTACAGTACTATATATATATATATATATATATATATATATATATATATATATATATATATATAAATAAATATATATATATATATATATATATATATATATATATATTTCGATTGGCTGAAGATCGGTATCGGCCTGATCTCATAAATCGATCGCAGGTGTTTGTTTGAGTTTACAAGCAGAGGAAGAGGCACGTGCTCACGCGGGTTTTTTTTTTTTACATTAGCAGCTACAACACATGTTAAATGATGTATGGGGGCATAAGTGATTGCTGTGCTCACGTCACAGCAGCTAAAATATAAACAGATGTGGAGCAACTTCTGTTTACAGTCTATTGGTGCAACTCAGGTGAGTGACAGTCTTTTTGTTGCAGCCATTGTATACTCAGCTGCTGTAATGCAAGCGGAGCGATCGCCCCTATCTTTGGGAAATACCCCAGAAATCATGGCGACGAGAGTGAAAGAGCAAGAGAACAAATCAGTGGATATCTTAACCATTACAATTGTTAGGTAAAATGAATAGAACAGTAAAGATGTTGCGTAAGATATTTAATAATATAACTATTTAATTTACTTATTGCAATAAACAGTACTTTATAGGCATTTTTCCTTTAGTAAACAAGTAATTTATATAATTTATAGATGTGTATTTTAACTTCTTGTGCATCAAATATGCACTTTAAACTTCTTAACATTGAGACATGCTGAGTTTCCAGATTGCATTGTTTGTCATTTTTATTAAAATTTTTAAAAAATCTGTTTTATCTATTATTTTCTATAATACTGCTTCCGGCCATGACATTTACACTACGTGTGTTTAAGGGATAATATGTAACTTAATATCATACTTGAAGGGGAAATTTGCTTCATGCATTCACTGCTTGAAGCCTCAGATTTGGTACTCGATATCACCATGACAAGGAATCTGTACTTGGGACCGGCTACAAAAATCCTAATCGGAGCATCCCTAATATACATAAATAAATAATGGTACAAAAAGAAAAATAATTATTATGAATAAAATATATATATATATTATTATATATAATATTATTATATATTTTATATATATATATATATATATATATATATATATATATATATATATATATATATATATATATATATATATATATATATATATATATTATTTTTTATTTAGTTTTTTTTTGTTTTTTTTTATTAATACAAAAAATAATAAATAAAAAAAAGTCCTATTATCTTAACCACTTCAAGCATTGTTAACACTGCAAGTTAACTGAAGTAATGTCCTTCAAACAGCCTACAGTTGACAACTTGAGTCGTCTGATTTCCAATTGGTCAGACAAGAATCCACTGAAAAAAGTGGATAACATTGTGATTTAATTATGTTCCGCTGACATCAGAGAGTTCTACGTCTGCCCAAATAACCCATTTATTCGCTCGCTCTCTTCTTCTGCCTTTAAAGAAACCCCAGGAAAAAAAAGAAAGAAAGGTTAATAACAACCCTTCCTGTGTCATATTCGACACGACCAGCCATTGGACTAATTATATTCATTATGGCCGCATGGATGTCTACTTATCCTTCTTAATGACAGACCACATGAAAAAGCCCTCTAAACACATATCTATTATTTAATCAAACTGTTCCCATTTGGTACAGGCAAAATGGAATGAGCAGCCTTTATTTTTGGCCTGAATGAATTCTCTGTGAGCACGCCAAAGGCCGAGAGAAGAGAAAGCAGGCCTTTAATTTGTAGCTTTTGATTTGAATCGCCATTCAGATGACAGAAAGGTACAGTTTATTCTGACAATCAGAGCTGCTGAAGAGGAATAGATATTATTAAGGATTAGAGATGAGCTTTCCAGTGAGGATGAGACAAGCCGTTTCCTTTTGTTCTCTTCTCTTTTCTCTCTGTGTGTCAAACTCTGCCGTAGACCACACAAAAAAGAGAGATATATCCAGTAGCTGTCGTGTTGACAGTTTGGGTACTTCCTCTCCAAAGCCAAGCAGGGGCCACATGCAGTGTCACTGTTCGTCTTTAATCAAAGCCGCGCTCGCATAAAATAGGGATGAATAAATAGAACAGATAAATGAAAATCTTTGTATTTTGCTATTATATGCAACCTGCAGTTTTTTTCTATACAAGAATAAACCCAATCAAAAATAAAAGCCTCCTAGAATGCATAAGGTGGCATTTTATGTGTCAATAAAAATAAAGGGAATTAGGACTGTGCCTCTCAATTATTTGAAAACCATATGATGCCAATTTTTTTAAAGGAAAAACTCAAATATAACAGTTATTTTATTTATAGTTATTTTAGTTATTTCTGTTTGTTAATCGTTCTTTCAGTTCAGACCTTGTTTATGAATCAGATGATCCAGTAGATAAAGTCAGTGTGAACGAATCACACTTGAAAGTTATCAGTCAACAGGAACTTACATTTCTGTCTCTTAAACAGTATATGTATAATGCAAATCAACGACTTAAGCGCTGGCAATTATTTGTGCAAAACTACAATCTGTAAATTCGTCATTAAAAGAGATCTGAGAATGTCCTCGCCATCGCCTTTTCTAGAGTGTTAGGATAAATTGCTAAATGACATGAAATATACATTTATTTATTTACATTCTCAAATGATATACGTTTGTTCTTAAATGTGAGGGTTATACAGTCATACGTTATACAGTTTGAGGACTGTTGTTTCTGTTTTCTTGGTTTTGTTATTCACGCGGGCTGGCTGTGTTGGACATCAATCTTTCGGGATATGGAATTTGAAAACATTTAAACTCCTTTGTGAACTGGAGTGTTAACGCTGTATGTGTGTATTTTTCTGGATGAAAGAAACGGAATGGGAAGCTCTGTCACGTGATATACATGGCGCACACGCAGCAATCTTTTAGTTAAACACACTAGGTTACGCATTTGTGCTGCACTTGTTCAGTAAGTTTTGCTTTGGAAGGAGAGAGTAGATAAGATACAACGTCTCGGACGTTGAAGGTTTATTTTTTTATTTATTTTTATTTTACAGGTATAGGGGAAGAGTAAATGGGTTAGATTCAGTAGTTGATTTTTGTTTTAGTCTTTTCTTTTGTTTGCCACGGTCCCATTCCCTTTGTCCTCCTTACGTCCCTTCTGTTAAAAAGTAATGGAAGGGACGTAACATTCAAAAAAGGCTATCATTATGCTTTAGAAGATATTTGATATAGCACACCATAGACTTCTTTTTGTTTGATATTGGGCCCAAAAATTAAATCTCTGTCATTATTTACTCACCCATTACTTGTTTCAAACCTTTTTTAGTTTCTTTATTGTGTTGAACAGAAAAGAAGGTATTTTTAAAAATGTTGGAAACCTGTAACTATTGACTTGCTGGGGGTAGGGGGTGGGGGTCACCTTTAATGGACAGGATAGTGGAGATTACAGACAGGAAAGTGGTGGGAGCAGAGAGAGGGGAAGGATCATCAAAGGACCTCAAACTGGGACTCAAACTTGGGTCGCCGTAAACGCCTCAGTGTTAAGGCTGATTTATACAAAATGAGTGAGTGAGTGTGAGCCACTTGTATATTAAGGAAGCGTTCAGAAAATAAACAAACACTAGCGAAGAAACTCAACACAGAGAAACAAGAACACCTACTACCAGCTAACGTTTCTAAAGTGTTATTGCAGAGCTGATCTTTTGACACAGAAGTATAAACCAGGCTTTATGTGTCAAATTATAAGTATTTATAAGTACTACAATACTACTATAAGTACTTTTATTATAAGTAGACTGTTAGGTTGGGTTAGGGTTGGGGTTAGTGTAAGCTGATATGTACCTTATAGTGAGTGAAATTAAAGGAGCAGTAACAACAGATATTAAGCAGACAGTCTACTAATACTCAAATGGACCATCAAAATAAAGTGTTACCAAATCTTCTTATGTGATAAATAGAGGAAAGGTGCTTTTAACGGTATGGAACCACTCGTAGATGAGTAAACGGAGAGTAAATTTCAATATTTGGGTGAACTTGCCCTTTAAGCTTATAAGCTCTTTAATTTTGCATGGTTCTTCTGTGTTACTCCGAACAACATGCAAGTGTGTAAATGATAACAGAGATTTTGGAGAACCTTTTCCTTTAAATAAAGCATAATGTCAATTTTTTTGTTGAATTACCTGATCCAGTTTACAAAGCCAGTGTAAATAAATCACACTGGTTTGGCTCACAAATCCACTTGCAGTGAAATTATCATTGAATTAGAAATGAAGATGAACTTAACATCTGTCTGTAAGCCACAAAAAGCTACTGCATTGCTTCAGAAGACGTCTAATATATAAAAAGAAATCGTACAAACTACTCTTATGTTGCTGTTTTATTGCTTTTTTTGTCTTTTTAGAAGCTTAAAATCTCATGTGTTTTTTTTTTTCATTTAGCAACTACACAGAAAAGCTTTGATTTAGTATTTATTTCTTTCTGTCCTTTTTTATTCCAAAGTCAGGATCAAAGTTTGAACCAACGTGAGAGCATTCAAAGATGAGGGAACTATCATTTTAGGGGGAACCTTTTCCTTTAAATAAAACGCTGTGTGAAAAGCAGTTGTGAAAAGCGTTTCAGCAAATTACTGATGCACAATCTCCCAGATGTGTTACTTTTTTAACTTCCTCTGCTTTTTTTAATCGCACGTCGCGCGCCTAGAAGTGCTGTTATAATGATTAAAATTGCACATATCTCTATTATCTTGCCGGAGAGAAAAATCTCACCAGAACGTTCTGTAGATGGCTCATGCCAAGATGAGTGATGTGATTGTTGCTCAGTATCAGCGTTCTCAAACCGGTCTTCTGAAAGCTCAAAGCATCGCAAATCTCCTCCAAACCTGTGGAACAAAGAGAGATGACTACACAAGAGCTGAAACAAATTGTGCGTTTTAACCACAAAAACCTATTCAAGCGTGCTATTGGCAGCGCACAATACGTCCTCAAACGAAATGGGTGTACCTGAGTCAGATGTGGCATTGTTGCTTAGGTCCAAGGTTTTAAGAGTGTTGTTGAATTTGAGCAGGTCGGCAACTTGCATGGAGTCCTGATAGCCGTTGAGGTTGTTTTCAGAGAGGTAAAGCTCCTGCAAAGCCACGTTCCTTTTCAGAGCACCGACTAGGGCAAGAATTGAGAAAAATCTTCAATAAGCATTGTCCTTTGTCCTTGTCCGAGATATGTGTGCCCAGTGCAACAACAAAAGATGTCATGTAAGACAATCTGGAGGGACAAAAAAAAAAAGAAGAAGAAGAACGGATTTCTATGAATGCAGAGTGCAGCTCTTCCAAACCACAACAAAGGCTCATTGAAAACTTGAGGTTGTGCAGGACTAACTCCATTATCGTTTTTATTTACATCGCTGTGATTATCACGGCCATCATTTTAATCGTCAACATCATTTCGTCTCCCTTTTAGGGCCAGAGAGGCTTTCATGGGCTTTTTGTCTGTGGACTCGCAGAGCAGTCTGTCCAAATCAATGCGGCAGATTTGATCAGACCCTTTCGGTTGCATGCGGAATGCCAACATCGTCATCATACACAGTAGGAACCAAATAGGGGGATCGTTGAATTGATCGGAGGGACTCCACTGTGCGAGTCAGCGAGTCCCGCAATCAGGGCCCCACCGATCGATAGCAATGATCAGAAGCTGGGCGTCCCGCTGGGAAGAATGAGGGGGGCGGTCGAGTGGCCCCCAAATATCAAATGGATCCACATGCTGCTTAAAGAGACAGAGCCACCAAGACATGGGATGTGCCACTCCACTCCTCTGTCTCATTTAAGGTCATTTTATCGGGTTCTGTTAATGGCCTGTGTCTACAACATCTCTTTCTCTCTTTCAGTCATTTACAGGGGCAGCCATTTCCTTTCAGACATTAACATCATGGTACTGCGGAGACAACAATCCATGTACAGGATACCCTGAGAGCCAAAAAGAGCAGTGTGATATGCTTTCGACATCCAATATTTTTTCCCAAATGCAATTTATGATTAGTTTGGTGAATTAATTTGAAAGTCACATAAGCCATGATTTTTTTTCCTGTCATATAATTTAAGTATCACATCCCTAATAAAATAAAAAAATAAAAACATCCAGTTGATGTCAGAATTATTAGCTCCCCTTTTAATTTTTTTTATTTCCTAAATGATGTTTAACAGAGATTTTCACGGTATGTCTGATAATATTTTTTCTTCTGGAGAAAGTCCTATTTGTCTTATTGCGACTAATAAAAGCAGTTTTTAATTTAAACAAAAAAACATTTTAAGGTCAAAATTATTAACCCCTTTAAGCTATCTTTTTTCCGATAGTCTACAGAACAAACCATTGTTATACAATAACTTGCCTAATTACCCGAATCTGCCTATAGTTAACCTAATTAACCTAGTTAAGCCTTTAAATGTCACTTTAAGCTGTATAGAAGTGTTGAAAAATATCTAGTCAAATAGTATTTACTGTCACCATGGCAAATATAAAAGAAATCAACTATTAGAAATGAGTTATTAAATCTATTATGTTTAGAAATGTGTTGAAAAAAAAAACTTCTCTCCGTTAAACAGAAATTGGGGGAAAAAATACACAGGGGGGCTAATAATTTTGGCTTAGAATTAATTCTGACTTGTAGAATGTATTATGTTCATTCCATTATTCATACGTTTTCTTTTCGGCTTAGATCCTTTATTAATCTTTGATCGCCACAGTGGAATTAACTGCCTACTTATTCAGCATATGTTTTTACGCAGTGCATGCCCTTCCAGCTGTGACCCATCACAGGGAAACATCCATACACTCTCATTCACTACGGACAATTTAGCTTACCCACCTATACCACATGTCTTTAGACTTGTGGGAGTAACCAGAGCACCTGGAAGAAACCCACGCGAACATGGAAAGAACATGCAAACTCCACACAGAAATGCCAACTGACCCAGCTGAGGCTCGAACCAGCGACCTTTTTGCTATGAGGCATTTCTGCTACCCACTGCACACTGTGACGCCAGTAGCATTGACTTCAGTTGGTAAAATAAACAAGTGCTCAGTAAGATAAAACAATAAATGCACAAATACGGCTTTACTGTGAGAGAGTCATTAAATATATTAAAGAACTAGCACTTCAATGAGTTCATTTATGGAACAACTGAAGTCAGACCAATTCTAATGAGTCTTTTTTTATTCATTGAAAAAACACAGTTCATAGGAGTCATTTGTTCAGGAATCAAACTCAACTGAACTGCACTGCTTTTTTGCATGCTACTGTGCTTGAAAAGATAACTTAAACTAGAGATGTGTTTTTGTTATTTCTATCGTAAAATTTTATATAAAGTCGCAAACATATTTGTGAGAAATAAAGCCACAAAATTGTGAGATGACAATTAGAATGAGCGAACCTTTTACTCTGTCCTAAAGACAATGTCGTTCACAATTTTTAAAGGGCCGTCCCATCTCTGTGGCTGTAGTCCTGTGTCCTTTTTTAAGAGGTAAGCTCTACAGTGCCACAGGAAAGACTCCATCTCACAGCGAGCTGGCCGAAGTGTCCTGAACGGATCGGTGCAGCAATGTGTAAAGTGACAGGAAGAAGATTACGACATCTAATCCAAGCCCAGTCTAGCTGTTAGGGTCACTGGGCCAAAATCTGCCACTCCTCCCCTTGTCCTGCTTCATCTGTTCCTGCTGGCCAGAGTCGCTCATGGAGAACGCTCATTTCAAACACATGCTATCTGTACTTTAGTACTGACATATTGCAGTGTTCGCACTATAGAGCAAAGTGAAGCGACTCGTAGACTGATATTAGCACTTTCTGCATTGTTAAAAAAAATCTTTGTGAACATTAGGTGTGATTTTGATTGAAGATAACGCACCCTTTGGGACGGTATGTTGTGCTGTCTTGATATCATTAAAGTATGTAAAACTCCGCCTGGAGTCAATGTACTTATGCAGTGGGAAATTTTGCACAGCACTTGCTAGACCAACACCAAGCCAAATGTCACAAAGAAGAGATGAAAAAAAACATTTGGCCCTCCCTGATGAGTCTATATTAGATGCAGTGTTTTCAGGATTCGCTCACATTTAAGACCCGCTTTTATTCTGAGCTTAACAAAAGTTTGAATACCTTAACAACAGTATAATGTTAGCAATACTCTAAGTAGCATTGTTTCCCTCCAAAAATGCGAATTAACTTTATGCGCAAAACTGAATTATCACATAAAATACATGCGAATAAAGCAGCTTTACATCCAACGAGTCAAAGCAAACAAAATAGTCCCTTTCTGATTATCTAGCACCAAATATCAACAGTAAAAATGTAATTTTGCTATAAAAGAAGCTGCGTGAATCTTTTCTTTACTTAATAAATGACTTGCGCCTCACAAGGCAATCCTGACACGCAGTGAACTAGCGTTTGAAGAAGCACTGACGCTCTTGATTCAGGAGGTCATAAATAATATAATAACACCAATACTAAAATGGTTAAGGTGTATTCGAATGAACAAAACAACATTTCAGATGCTTTGCAATGCGGTCAGCGTTCTGGTTTGTCAATTCACACACATTTTTATCATCACATGATCTCCTATAACAAAATGATATGACTTTTTTATTGTGTATACTGGAATTTGTTTGGCAAAAGTGTTTCCATCGTAGTTTATGCGCATCTTTTTTTATTGAATAAAAAGTTTATCCTACTCAGTTATGCGTATATGTTTTTATGTGCATTTTCAAAATTTATGCACATCTTCATATCCAAAATTCACATGAAAATAGGTGGATAGAAACGTAGCTAATAAGTACATTTACATAGACATCAGTAATCGAATGATTAGGCTTAATCTAAATAGGACAATTCGATTCCACATTTCCTTCTGAGTTTCATGTAATTTCCAGTGTTTCATTTTACTTTTTCAACTTTAACTGCAGTTCAGCAGTTTTACTTTCATTGCACCACAATAACAAATATACAATAGATGTACACTCGAGAATACCAACAATGTGCTATGAAAGTTCGCGCACAAAATAATTCCCTATGGGTGACCACAAGATGGCATCCTCAGCAAACATCAGTGAGTATGTATACATGGACACCAATAATTCGATTTTAATACCATTAAGACAATACTCTGATCAAGAGTCTATCATGTAAACAGACATTTTTGATCGATTTTTAATTTAATCTGATTAAGGTCAAAATCTAACCTAACCTTAATCAAATTAAGATATGTGGAATATGCCGATTTTAGTCGCATTATTGAAGTGCAGCACAGACATGTAAACACCTTAGTCAAACTATTATCGTTGTGTAGGACTTTCACTGTATTTGTCGACAGGATATTCCATACACACACGGCTGTTTGACACTATTCTCTGCACCTACCAATTCAGTGAAGGACTACAGACACCTGAATCATGAAATGCGAAGGTTTTTTCCCCATACGACATTTAATTCCATTAAAACAGCACTCTATTGCATCAGTTCATAGTTGCATCCAATGTCTCGCTTGTCACAGGGGCATGCATGAAATGTTCCTGAACGAAAGTGAAAGTGCCAAATAGTGGTTAAAGTCGACAAATTAAATATGAAACACCCTAGAATACATAAAACTCTGGAGGAAAAGTGGAAAGCGTGCTGACGCAATGACGTTAGTCAAACTATGTGCCTTAACATGTAAAATGGACTCATGAAAGGAACAATCAAAAAGCAAGTCATGTAAACACCTTAATCATGTTATTGTCTTATTCATATTAAGGCAATTATTTCGATTATTGATGTCCATGTAAACATAGTCTATGTCACCTACGATGCTGCGTTTGGGTGAATATGTAAATATGTGTTTTTCTCTAAACAACAAGCATACAGCAAAAATTACAGGATGGAATAAACAGCACTTACAATATGAAAGCATCTGATAATAGTCATGTGCGATGTTTGCTCTAGCTGTGCAAATCAGCACTCAACTCACATCATGCTTATGTATACAGTACAGTACATGCAGGATATTGCTTTAAAGCAAGCAGCTTTGCATGTACTACATATGGAAAAACAGTGTCTGTGTTGGTTTCAAGCAGAAATGCATTTCCATTTCTACTATAAATATACTGGCGAATATTTGTATGCACTAGACAATTTCCTGGTCAAAGAAGTTTGTGTCTCATATAGGCTTGCGCCGGTGTAAGATACTGACGATATGACAACCTTAGATACAAATATCACTGATTGACAGTATTGTGATTACTGCTTTAAAATATGTGCTTTTTAAATGTCTTGGTAAAAAAATTTTTACTTTTTTCCCCTCTGAACACAATATATTTTATGTTAAGGAATAGTTAAAATATTTTGAAGGAGTAGCTAAACATTTCAGGCTAAATAATTCTGCTGTCTTCATTACTTTAAAAACACTGATTTCTTTACAATTTAAAATGGCATCTTTGGATATCGTTTTTGCTGGAGATACTTTTGTCCTAAAAAAACATTAAAAAAATTACATATAGGACAGAATAGCAGAAAAATTTGGCAGTTTTGAAACCTTGACTTTTCTAAACCATGGTATACCTTGATAACTATTATTGTCCCATGCCTAGTCTAATACACTGTAGCTTCACTAATCTATTACATAATGGGGTGTGTGCATCTTTCCATTATTAAACTGCTATGTGTAAAGTCTGATTTCTTTAAAAAAATCATTGATCTTCACTGCCTAATAGATATACAACATAAAGTGGGTCTCAGATTGCACAAGAAAAACTGCATTAATTTCCATTTTCCCCCACCATGTCTTTAAAATATGACAGTTTTTTTTTACCAAAGTATTTTCAATGGAATTTCTGCACTCGCCTGCTGATCTTGGCGGCGCTAGGGGTAACACAGTCTTTCATTTCGTTTTATGCTTGAACAACTAAATGAATGCTTGAGTCTATTTTATAGAATGTTTTGTAATTACATTACAACATCTATGCTGTGAAAGGAACCTTAGAAAATTTAAAATAGTCACATTAAGCTTTCACTCGAAGTTTATCATTGGCTGAAAAACATTAGCTGTGCATATACCCCAATGCCACAGAACAGAAGTAGATTCTTTGCAGCTGAAGCAAAGTTTTCCATAACGTTTGTTTTGGCTAGCAGTTTAAAACTCACAAAACGAAGTTTGTTTCGGTCTGATTTAGTTTGAAATGATGCCAGTTTGTTCTTCGGATTCACTTGAAGCACACTGAGGTCTTAATCCAGCGCAAACATATAAAAAGAGTTTGAAGAAATGTAGTTGACCCCATTTCCCACAATGCACCATTATTTGCATTTCACAGCTCAAGGTCATATTCTCAGGCCGCTGGCACCCAAACTTTCTTCTATTGTTAGATCGCATGCACTTCAAGCGGATGGTGTGTGCTGGGCATACCAAGTGTGAAGAGAGGTTTGCCGCTCAGGCAGGTGTTTTCAAGGTGTAACACTGTCAGCCTGCTAGTGAGAAGGGCTTTTGACAAGGCCTGCGCGGCGTAGTCCACCATGGGCATGTTGCAAGCATCCAGCCTCCACAGGCATCCACTCTGAAGAGACCAGACAGCAAACCATCAGAGAGAGAGAGAGAGAGAGAGAGAGAGAGAGAGAGAGAGAGAGAGAGACTCAGAGGCCTGGTTTTGCCCTCGCTGCGGACTGGCCTTTCTGTCTCACCCTCTCTCATCAAAAAGCCACCCTGTCTACAGAAGCAGAAACGTCAAAAACCGGAAAACAATTCTGACGGGAGGTTCCCAAAGATCTGCAGGCCATTCCGGAGATTCATCCTTTAGTCCACCACTTCAAAAGTGTCCAGATTTTTTTCTTCTTTCCCTTTCTTGCGAGAATTTGATTGATCTCATATAATACAGCCTGAGAGCGTGTCTTTGCTTTTTACCATTGAAGTCCTCGTCACCATGAGGTGATGCTGTCTTTCATCTAGAGCGGTTGCTAAATGAACACATATTGTCAGGAGTTTTATGAGGACTATAATGATGTCCATTAAAATCAAAGTGTGAATGTGGCTTTATTCAGCAGTGCGGACATTTTCATCTTTGATGCATGGTAATTCATTGCGTCCAATTCAGGCTGAATACCACTGTGCGGTATCGGTTCACACTTGATGACACATTTAAAACATGAGGCGTGAAATTTAACTTTAAAAGATTAAGGGAGCTGTATGCATACATATGTGTGTGTGTGTGTGTGTGTGTGTGTGTGTGTGTGTGTGTGTGTGTGTGTGTGTGTATTAATTTTTTTTTGTTTCATACAGATGTTTGTTTGTAATAATAATACGTTTTCTAAGATTTAAACTTAAAAGGCATTAAAATTGTCTTTGTTTACTTTGTAGGCTATATAATTCCACAACATATGTTGTCCATGTTCAAATTTCTTTAAGAAGCTATGAATCTTGAGTTAATGAATTGTTCAGTGACTGTATGGCTAACATTTATTTAGACTAACGTTACTTAATGCTGAAATATTTATGAAGTGTACTAATGAAGGATGAACTCAGAAGGTTATTGCAGATTAATATATATTATTATTCATTATTCACAATACTGTATCACATTAATTGAACTACATGCCATAAGCATTTGTCCACTATACGTGTGCAGTAAATATCAAGTCTTACCTGTCTGAGAAGATGGGACAGTGAAAGCCAACCGGAGAATCCCATGCCTGAGTTCGCAGAAACGTCGAGGTGTGTAGCCGATTCGTAGTACAAAACCATGTCTAGCAAAGCTGATGCTCCCTTATGAGAGAAAATAAACAACATAATAATGACAAAACAAACCCGAGAATGTGAACAAGTAAACAGACACGCTTTGTTTGGCGCGAATAGGCAGGGTTGCCAGATCTACATAAAATAAATAAACTCAAAACTGACTCTAAATCATGTATTTCAAATCAAAATGTGCCTTAATGCATATGCCTATTTAACAGTGACTACAGTGCGTTATACATAACGCAGTAACAATGTAGAAGTAGGCTATAGTTCTGTTTGTCAATCCAGGCAATTCCAAACTTGGCAACCCTAGATATTAATTGTAGCTAACACATTTTTAATCTCTACACTAGATTAATCAACAGTGCTACGACAAAACAAGTATTTTTAAATATTTTTACAGAGCAAAAATTACCCGAAAGATTTAGAAATATTGTTAAGAAGTTAACTGGGCCTGTAACTAGGATAGCCTATATGTTAAAAAGGCCTATACTCATTCATAATGCATAAGCTACTTTATTATCAGTAGTAGTAGTATAGCTATTGTTATTTATTTATTCTCCATAATTAGCCTGATTTAACCATTTACTAACTTATAAAAAACACACAATTTGGAAAACTTTACCAAATTTGAAAACTGATGTCTAGGCCAGCAATAGAACCATGTGTGATTAGATGCAAATGTCCATAGTCTACTGTACTTACATTTTCCTCAAGCTCTGCCCCCTGCAGACTGATGAAATCAAACTGCACTGATTTCAGGATCTCTTCAAGAGATTCGCAGGAGCAATAATCTAACCGTTCACCTGGAAAATCAATCAAAATGGAGACACCTTACACTTTGAGTAACACTCTTTACTACCAGATTTTATAATTTTTTTCACAGCACCAGATACTCTATCTCTGCCCCTCCAAAGAAGGACATATTAGACACTAACACACATAACACAATCACGTCTGATCCCCTCCCCGTCAGTGGAGGAGACAATCAAAGAGTGTCTGATTATGCAGGAACAGATGACTTTTAAACAAAGCCCTGAGAAATACTTTGATGGCCACAGCAGTCCGTCTATATTAGACACGCGTTGCAAAGGCCCCCTTTCCCTCATAAACTCTTATCTTCCTGGTCGGGAAGAAGCCAGATCGCTCAGAGCTGCATGTTGGGAAGATAATAATTTATTCATCATTAGCATAATCATTTGTAATTTTTTTTAACAATAATCACTTAACTGTACCATAGGAAGGGGGGATCAAAAATCCCATTTTTCTAATCCCCTCTGCCATGTGCAGATAATGACACTGAGACTTGGAGTTAGATGGCATCAGTGCGTGACAGGGCGCAGGAAGCCAGAACATGCTGACCCGCACTTCAAGCTCACTTCTGCTGGTATCAATAACCGCTGTTTCAGTCATCAAAGGGACAGCAGTTTAATCCCAAACTAATGCCCTTCAGCATCGGCATGTACATTTCAATTAACAGGCTCGTCAAAGTCTGATCTTATCACAGTGTGGTAGTAGCTTTAAAAAGTACAGTTGCTGTTGGCTTAAACCACACTTCAGGGATAATAGAAATAGACTGCTAACTTTTTGTGTTCAATAAATATAAAAACTAGAGATGCTTAGGTCCTCAATCTGTTAATGTCTTTGATAAAGGTCAACAGAGTTGGGGAATGTTTCTTTTGAAAGTAATGCATTACAATATTCAGTTGCTCCCCAAAAAAGTAACTAGTTAAGTTACTTAGTTACTTTTTATGGTAAGTAATGCATTGTGTTGTTTTCGAATGACTTTTGAGTTACTTTTTCATGCCTGCCTTTTAAACATATCTCTTTCAGAACTTGCAGGGTGTTTTTCTTTTTTAAAAAAGAGAGCTCTCCATTTACTGATACACTCTATAATCTACACCTCAATTTACCTAAAAAAAATGAAAATAGATTAGAATAATGTTACCTTCGGAGAACTTCCTAACGCTATACGTGCCGTATGAACAGATTAATGAAAGTTGAAGGCTATATGTTTGCTACTTTTGTATTTTTCTCTTATTAGTGAAGTAAAAGGACTGTCCATTGAGAAAATCCCCTTTTCTTCCATGTGTTCAAAATAATGAGAATACTTCCAGAAATGTAAGGCTCAACTTCTTGGTTTCTATCTGTTCCCGCAGGGAGCTCATTGTCTCATTGAGTGTGATTCAACATGATTTCACTAATTTTAATTTAGCAAAAAAAAAATTTTTTAATGAATTAATTCATATGAAAAGTATCTCAAGTCACACTTTTAAACCAGTAACTCAATTATTGTTATCTATTTTTGTAAGTAATGTGTTACTTTACTTGTTACTTAGAAAAGTAATATTATTATGTAACTTGCATTACTTGTAATGCGTTACCTCAACATTGGAGATCACCAGTCTGTTCTGGAAGTGAAAATGTCATTCATTGATTGATTTTTATCCATAACCTTTTTACCTGCGAAATGCAGAAAGCCATTTCTTAAAAACTATGGAGATTTATTTGACATTTTGGTCAACTGGGTGGCTGTAATGTTTGAATTTGTCATTTGAGTTGATATTTCATCCAAAAGTGAAAATTCTGTCATCGTTTACTCACGCTTCTTTTCTCACAAACCTGTTTGAGTGTCTTTTTTCTGTTAAACATAAAATGTTGAACATAAAAGTTGTTTCAAAAAATGTAACATATTTATTTTTCCTACTATTGAAGTTAATGGTTACAAGTTTCTAAAATTATTCAAAACACCTGTGTTTGTGTTGTTAAAAAAGTTATAAAGGTATGAAATCACATAAGGGTTAGTAAATGGTGAGAACATTATCATTTTTGACCAAACTACACTATTAATGCTTTGTTTCATTCTGAAAATTGTATCACACCTTAAAATGAAACCTTTCGTGAAATTTTTTTTTTTCATTACAAATAAGTCAATATGTATTTTCCACAAATTAATTGATGGCTAAACTTCCACACATACAATGGACGGATTTTGGGTTAACTATTATTTTGTGACAACAATTTCAATCACTATTTGAGACAATGTAATGCGTCACAATTCTCATTTCTCCATACATCTTGTTTAATCTGCATGTTGCATGTAAAATTATTTATTCGAGGGAATGGGAGGAGAGAAAGGGGGCAGTTTTTTTATTTAGCCCTTGTTGTGTTTCAAGAATGAAACCAGTTTTAGCTGCATATTCTTATGGCCCCATAATTTCCATAGATTCTCAGAACAAACAGACTTATACATGATTCTACATTTTAGTCTTGCACAAAGGGCAAATTACCCGAGTTTTACAACTGAAGAAAAGATAAACAAAACATCTGATTGCTAAAATGCATGTTTGAACCTTCCATTATGTTGTCACGGTTGGTGTGCGTCTCCTCCCAGAGTTGTGTCTATGAATTTGAAAGATTTTCTGTTTGTTTTAGGATTGCGCAGCAGAGCGTTTACAGGAGGTCAGGCTAGTGATGCCAAATACGTGCTGGTGGAAAGATGAATAAAGCTGGAAAACCTGAATGGATGAAGGGATGAACGTCTCGGGTGACATGATAGCACTGGGGGGATTTTTCTGGTGGTGCTTAGCTTTAAAAACAAATAATGCTATTCGAAAGGGATAGTAAAAATAATAAACAGTGCATTGCTGAACTTACCAGACAGGTCAAAGCATCTGGCTCTGTCGGTAACACAGGTAACTTGCTGCATGAAAAAGAGGCAGACAGAAAATCAAAAGATTACTGAGCTCAAAGATTTCAGTAGAGGCCAATATTTAATATTAAAGCATGATTCAGCCTCTGCTCTGTAAAATGTTTCAGATTTGGAAATATGTTAACATCCCACATAGCAAAATATCTCTGGCCCACACAATCAGCTTTTGCTTGGCCCACATGCTGTAGTGAAGTATGGCACATGACTGGATTAAGTCTGGCTTCCAGACAAGGGCCAAACATGGACCATATCTGGGCCAAGTTAATAACCCTTAACTGAGCCTAAACTGGGCCAGATGTGTTGGTGTGTCACGACTGAAATGAAACTGATAAACCCATGAATCATTGCACTTTAGGCGTGCAATGGGCGTGCTTTTTCTCTAAGCGACCTGATTGGTAGAATTTTTTATCCTAATTAGAAAATAATAACATTTTATTTTAAATGTGGCTCTAGATAGGCCAAACTTACATGGCCCACATATCAATTATTAACATCTGGACCAAATACTACAATTTACATCTGGCCCAAGTATTGTGTGCCGCCTTAAAGATGGTGCCACCAAACCAGAGCCATGTTTGGCCCACATGCTGTATGCCAGTGCCGGATAAATGCCTGCTGTGCCAAATTTATGCCAAATTTGGGCCAGAATTATTTGCTACCTGAGATGCTATTAATATGACTATAAATGTTAAGATGACAGAGCAAACCAATGTTGTCTAAATACTCTTCAGAGTTATCTATATTTGATCAAGCAAGCAAGCGGTTCTCTGTCAGATATGTAAAAGATCACTGGTGAAATCTGCCATATGGTTTGAGACACATGATCCATTAATAAAGTTTATTCTTCATCTCCATTATTTCAGTTGTTTTAAGTGAAACCAGAAAGAATCAAAAGAAAACTCAATTTGGCCCAATGAGAGCCATGCATGTCTCATAATGCTCGCACAGCAAATAGAAATTTCTTTTGCATTGTGTTAAGCTTGAATGGACAAAAACTCTTAAAATGATATCAAATGCTGATTTTAGAGTTTATCCTTGTAAATACAACTAGTTAAGTCTTCAGTCAATGTAAAGCATATTTGTCATCATATTGGGCTTGTGCTTTAGCTGTTAAAATGGCTGCAACTGTTAGTTTGAAAATGTTCTTCACTGTGAAACCTTTGTTGCATTACTAAGAACTAATAAATAAGTGGGCAGCATGGTGACTTAGTTGTTAGCACAGTCGCCTCATAGAAGGAAGGTCGCTATTCGAGTCCTGGCTGGGCCAGTTGGCAATCCTGTGTGGAGTTTACGTGGGCTTCATCCGGGTGCTCTGGTTTCCCCCACAGTCCAAAGGCATGCAGTATAGGTGAATTGAATAAGTGTGAATGAGTGTGTATGGGTGCTTCCCAGTGCTGGGTTA